TTTAGACCTATAATTTCACTGTGAAAGAAAAAATTAGAAATATAGTCAAAGATTTATGTGCAAAGATACTTGTCAAAAGTTAGCAATGATGCAGAAAAAAAAAATCCATAAAACAAAATGTCCAACAATAGTGAGGTGGTCCAACATGAGGATGAGTGTATTAGAACAAGTAGAAGTACTGTTTTTTTTATCTTATAGGATACTGGGGGCCAGCACTCATTAGTACAGTTACTTAGAGCAATTTGCTTAAGCAATATAGTATAATAAGATTGAAAATTTGAGTGCATTTCCCAAAAACCACTAAATCATAAAGCATTTTTTAAAATAGTTCCCCCAAAGCAATGTAGAAGCATTTATTACAGCTCTGACATATGACACAAAATGCTACCACTTTCTTTTAAGGAAGGCCAGCATGGTGGTAAAAGCAGCAGCACTCAGGAATCAATGGGCAAAAGGAACAGTGGCAAAATCCAAGATTATTTTCTTTGCCAGACTCATACATAGCAACGTGGCACGTGCTATTCTTTTTCGTGGGAAGATGTTTTTAAGCCACATGGCTTCCATGTGGAAGTAATTTCATCTCCTAATTAAGATCACATTTATGAATAAAAGCAGAGGAAGGAAGCCAGCTTGACAAGGGTATCATACCAAAAGCCAGGGTAAGTGGGAAGTCTTTGTTTTGTGGTCATTATTGGAGTAGTGTGTGAGACTCATTAAGTGTTTGGTTCTGACATATTTATAGAGAAAGAGAGATAATGTTTTCCTGGGTTTGGTAGCACCCCTGTTGTTACAAGTTAGCCAAAATTTACCCTTAACTTCTTATGAAGAGTTACATTACTTACCTTCTAGAAGCTTTCCCTGCATGATGTATGAGCCATACAATTTTAAGCTGTTAGGCTTTTCAAATATAGGCTAAAACCTTTATGGAAAGTTTCCTAAATAGTTTTCAACAGAGAATTATGAAATGAGAAGAAAGAAGAAAGACGAAGAGATCTTAGTACCTGCAAGCATTATTAATCAGAACCAAAACAGAGAAAAGGGAAAAAAAAAAACCAATTACACTAGTTCTGTCCATGCTGAAACAGATTTATAGAAGAATGTTTTCTTTTAGTTTGTCATAGACCAATTTATTTTAATCCTGTGGAAATAGGTATATTGATAACTACGTTTTAATCAGAAAAGAATGATTTAATTAAACATTCATTCCATTTTGAAGCTGTATTAATAGTTTAACACTGTACATAAAAATAAACAAAACAGAACACAGGAAAAAATGTGGCTAATGGTGATATTTCTTTACAGGTGAAACTCAGCAGTGCGTGTAATAGAAAAACTAAATCCAGGTTTGCTCAAAGTATATTCAAAGCTGGCACTATCATCTTTGAGTTGAATAAACATAATTTACACTTGCTATTTCAACAGAGTTACCACGGAAGAGCAAAATTAAAAAACAAAACCTACCTGCTTTTCAGAAGTTTGTGTGTGTATGTGTACATACAGACACTTACATACACACTCATGGGAACACCTCCCAAATGGAGTTTTATCTTGTTATATATTAATTAAAATAGAATAATACACATTGCATTTTGGGAGATTTGGGGTAGTTGATTATTCAAGAAGTATTACATTGAAACCCTCAATGATCTAATTGTTAATATGAAAAAAATACTAGAATTGGAATTCTATTTTAGATTATAGATGTTGTGAAAAACGCCTCCCAAATGAATTAAAATTTTTCTTTTAGCCTTTTTTACCTGGTAAGACAAGGGTATATTTGTGGCTTTATGAAGTCTCTCATTTGTTTCTTTTTTTTTTTTTGAGACAAAGTCTTACTCTGTTCCCCGGGCTAGAGTGCCATGGCGTCAGCCTAGCTCACAGCAACCTCAAACTCCTGGGCTCAAGCGATCCTCCTGCCTCAGCCTCCCAAGTAGCTGGGACCTCAGGCATGTGCCACCATGCCTGGCTAAAATTTTTTTTCCATATATATTAGTTGGCCAATTAATTTCTTTCTATTTTTAGTAGAGATGGGATCTCGCTCTTGCTCAGGCTGGTTTCAAACTCCTGACCTTGAGCAATCCTCCCCCCTTGGCCTCCCAGTCTCATTTGTTTCTGTTTAAAAATTTTTTCAATGACTAGATAAATGAATATAGACTACTCTGTGTGTTTGTATGTGTGTATGCATGTGCACGTATGCGTGTGTCCATGTAGCTGCTGTCTTAGAGACATAGATTACTATTCGGGAGACAATATGGATTAGGTTGAGAAGGTAGAGGCAGAGAAGAAAGAAGAAAAGGGGCCAGGCAGGAGGGCAGATGCATGACTGAGGTTGAGGGCAAGAAGGGAGAGAGTTAACCAGAGGCCCCCAACTATTTTCCCTAACACTGGCTGCCCTTCCTCACGCCAGCCACATTCTCACTTCTCTACAGTCTAGTCTGAGAAATCAGAAAGAAATTTAAAAAAATTAGAATGTGGAGGCAAACATTATGCTCCTGACTCAGAATTTCAGAACTAGAAATAGACTTAAACATCAGTCAGTCCCCTACAAGGTTTTCAGATGAGTGAACCAAACCCAGAAGAAGATAAGTGCTTTACTGGTCAGTGGGAAAAGCAATACTAGCATCAAAGACTTCTAGTTTTCAGTTAAAGATTCTTTTTAGGACTAGATTCTAGGAGGATACTGATAAAAATTAAACCAAAAACATCTTGTGATTGATTAATCTCTTCCCTGTAGGAAGGAATATTGCATCTGCCACTGTGGCAGAGGTTGAGAAAGATGCTTAAACCAAACAGGGACCCTTTGTCTGAGAGCAAAATATTGCCCAAGCAGAGAAGTCATTCACCCTTGATCTTTTCAGAGGTAATTTTAGAAGTCTTCATCAGACAAAACCAATCCCCTTCCAGATGGTGCCTTACACACCTAATGATCCTAGACAACCAGATCCTATGTCCCTTGTGTGCTGCCCTTCTTTTATGTATGTTTCAAGTTCTTCAGATTGATTGTGAATCTTTGGCCTCAGGTTGCCCTTGATGTCACAGGTCTTTCTGGTTTCATTTATGTATGCACAGGGGAATTTGCTTTTCCAGTCTTTGAAGCTATCTTAATACCACTTGACCTTCTCAGCCATGCAAAACTAGCTTCCAGACCATTTCAAACCCCAAAGCTTCAATAGCAAGCATTCACAGGAAAGGCAAAAATCTTTAGATGGTCAACATTATTTATAATTCTCTATTCCAAAATTTAATGTACATATGCTTGGACCATACCAAATTCACCTGTCCTGAAGAGAGGTATTACCTCTCTTACAGGTAGGTAAGGATGTTGATGAGCACCATATGTATACTGCCAATAAATGTATTATTATATGTGGGATTTTCTATCATGAAGCATCATTTGATAAATATTTATTAAGCACCTACTGTGTTACAGACACAGTTGGTTAGCCCTGGAGATTTAGTGTGAAAAAAGGCCAGAAAAGTTCATGTCCCCATGGAACTTACATAATTATTCTCCGCAAAATTACACCAGAGCCCAGAATAATTTACTATTCTTGATAAAAGTATAATTTCTGTCTACTTACAAATGCTTGTTGCTAATGAATGTAAGCTTTTTATTAAAATATAACATAAACACAGAAAAGTAAACAAATCAAGTGTACAGCTCAGAGAATTTTCACCAAATGAACACACCCATGAAACCGGCAGCCAGGTCAAGAAACAGAACATTATCAGCTCCCAGAAGCACTCTTAGTAACTTTTTCTAATTGTTAACCTTCCCAGGGTAACTGCTTTTCTGACTTTTGACACCATAGATTAGTTTGGCCTTGTTTGAACTTTATAGAAATGGAATCATATGGTGTATGATCTGTGCCTGCCTTCATTTGCTCAATATTTGGCTTGTGAGATTCACCTAAGTTGTAGCATGTAGTTAGGTTTATTCATTCTCCCTGCTGTATTCCACTGTATATTTTCATTTATTTATCCATTCTATTGTTAAAGACATTTGGGTTATTTCCAGTTTGGCCTATTATCAACAGTTCATTATTAAGATTCTTGTACATGTCTTTAGGTGAACATTTCTGTTGGGTATACATCTACGAGTTGGAATAGTGATTGGGTCATAGGTTATGCATATATTCATCCATACTATATACTGCCAAAAAGTTCTCCCAAGTGTTTGTACCGAGTTATAGTCCCACCAGCAGCATATGAACATTCCAATTACTCCACATCCTTACCAAGCTCAGTGTTATGTGCTTTTTCATTTGCATTTGCATTTTTATGTTAAAAAAAGCCGAGTAGAGCCACTGGGGTTTCGTGATAAACAATGAGACATCATAAAGTTTATAGTAACAGTGCTAATCCCTTGGATCCTAGTCTATGCCAATGATTCGAGATGGTATTATATTGAATTACAAACTCTGCTTAACTTATGATGGAATCAAAGCCACTGTTTACAATGGAAAATCCTGAAAAAATTTGCCTTTCTTATATTTGGTGCTGTGGTTTTTTTCAAGTCAGCAATGGTGGACTACCTTTTTTTTTTTTTTTTTTTGCCAGAGGGCCAAGTAAGAAAAAATAAAAATACGTAGAGGACACTTTTTTGAATTTCGAAATGGAAATGGCTTTCTTGAGTCCTGGGGAAGAAATACATATTTAGATGTGAGACGACCTACCATACCAAATGGAAGACTGGAAGTGAGAAAGTTGGAGCAACTATTGGCCAGTAAAATGGTGACATCAGACCATATTTGAGAAATGCCTATAGGGATATAGTTGTCATCCTGAAATTAGCTTGTCAATCATATTGCAAAGCAATGAGGGCAACCATGTCCCTTAAGAGGAATTGAAGCAGCCCTCCCTGGCTTTAACACCACTTCCCTAGGAGGAGCTGTAAATAGAATGGATCCAGGCCCATGCCTATTACAAAGGGCCCAGCTCAAGTAAAGAAGAACCTTATTCTTAGAAAAATATTGATGGCTTTTTTTTTTTCTTTTCAGTCCAAGGTTTACACTCGCACACCAACCTTATATTTGGACTTCAAATTGGACCCAGGAGCAAAACATTCCCAGCCTATTCCTAAAGGTATGATGGGTTCTGGGGTTTAGTAACCATGTCAGAAAAACAAAAAATAAACAATAACAAAAAAACAAAACAAGGAGCTGCTTTCTCTAGAATGTGCTTGTTTCTGAAACTCAGCACAAAGTTCTATGAACTTTGTTTATGTTTAATTATGTTTAAATTAATGAATACTACTGGGGTCTTTCAAGTTAAGAAAATCAGGAGGAATTCATAGAATGTTAAAGTTGGCCCCTCTGAGCCACATCCCTCAATTTACAGGTGTGGACACTAAGGCCCAACAAATTAGTCACTTGCTCAAGGCCACATAAAGACTTACTGTCCCAGCTAGGATGAGTAAAATATACCGGTCTTCTGACTTTCCAGCCCCTGTTGACTCACAGTATGCCTGGAGGCAAATTCAGACCTGTGTTACTCAAAAACAAGTGCATACTTGATTGAGATACAGGTTTTGCTTGATATAGGTATTGTTATGGAAGTGTTTATTACCTTTAGGTTGATGTTTGAACCTAAAGAATAATTAGAAAATTCCCAAGTATTTAAAGTCAATTTTATTTTAAAACATGGCTATTCCCAAGGTCATTAGGCATCAACTTTGAACCCATTATTTTGTTCTTTGTTTTTTCATTCTGGCTATTTTAAAAAATAATTTTAGTTCAAATTGTTTTTAAACTAATTTTATCTTTCATTGATGTAAGAGGTACATATTTTCGGGGCACATGTGATAATTTAATGCAGTAATATAATTTGTAAAAGTCTAATCAGTATGGTGTAAATGATTTTTTAAATGTGTTATTGAATTGTTTGCTAATATTTTGTTGAGGATTTTTGTGTCTACGTTCATCAGTAATATTGGCCTGTAGTATTCTTTTTTTGTTGTGTCCTTGTCTGGTTTTGGTATCAGGGTAATGTTAGTCTCATTGAATGAGTTTGAAAGTACTCCCTCGTTTCAAGTCTTCTGAACAATTTAAGTAGAATTGGTATTAGATCTTCTTTATTTTTTTTAAATTCAGGATATCATGGGAGGTACAAATATTTTGGTTACATGAAATGCGTTTGCCTCACCCAAGCCAGGGCTACAAGCGTGTTCTTCCCCCATACAGTGTGCTCTGCTTCCATTAGTTGTGAGTGTATCCCAGCCTACCCTGCCCCCCACTTGACTGGCACCCAGTGAGTATTACTACCATGTGAGCACCTTAGTGTTGATCAATTAGTACCAATTTGATGGCAAAGTACATGTGGTGCATGTTTCTCCATTCTTGTGCTACCTCACTTCAAAGGATGGGCTCAAGCTCTGTCCAGGAAAATACAAGAGGTGCTAGTTCACCATTGTTTTTTGTAGTTGAGTAATACTCCATGGTATGTATACACTACATTTTATAAATCCACTCATGTATTGATGGACATTTGGGTTGTTCCCATATCTTTGAAATTGTGAATTGTGCTGCTATAAACATTGAAGTGCAGATGTCTTTATTATAGAATACCTTTTTTTCCTTTGGATAGATGCCTAGTAGTGGGATTGCTGACATAAATGGTATTTCTATTTTTAGCTCTTTGAGGTATCTCCAAATTACTTTCCACAGGGGTTGTACTAATTTGCAGTCCTACCAACAGTGTAAGAGTGTTCCAATCTCTCAGCATCCACACCAGCGTGGATGTTGTTATTTTGGGACTTTTTGATAGAGGCCATTCTCACTGGAGTTAGGCGATATCTCATTGTAGTTTTGATTTGCATTTCCCTAATGATAGAGATATTGAGCAGAATTCAGCAGTGAATCCACCAGGTCCTGGGCTTTTCTTTGCTGGGAGACCTTTTATTATGGCTTTGACCTTATCACATATTATTGGTTTGTTGAGGTTTTCTGTTTCTTCATGATTCAATCTTGGTAGGTTGTATGTGTCCAGAAATTTATCCATTTCTTCTAGGTTTTCTAATTTGTTGGCATATAGTTTTTCATAATAGTCTCTAATGATTTTTTGTATTTCTGTGGTCTCAGTTATATCTTCTTTTTATTTCTTATTTTATTTATTTGGGTCTTTCTTTTTTTATTAGGCTAGGTAAAGGTTTTTCAATTTTGTTTGTCTTTTCAAAAAACCAACTTTTCATTTTGTGATCTTCTGTATTGATTTTTAGTCTCAATATCATTTTTTTGTCCTCTGACCTTCATAATTTCTGTCCTTTTACTAATTTGGGGTTTCATTCTGTTTTTAAGTACAGAAAAAAATTTAGATTCATTTACTTAAATATCTGCCTACACTATGCATCATTTTTAGAACAATACGTGTGAGTGTGCATGTGCTTTAACTTTTTAGTGCAGTGCCTTTTCCTTTTGCTCTTGAGTTTGCAATCTTTTCCTCTTATGTATCCCAAGTCTAGGCTATATCTCACATTGATTCTTAAATCATATCTTGCTATATTTTTCTCCATACTTATTTTTCTATGCTGACATACATGTGTATTCAAATATATACACATATAAGGTTATTTTGTCATTGCTTTACTAAAATGCAATCATTATAAATACTTTTTGCCTCTTGTTTATTGGACTGAACAATACTTCATGGGAATCCTTCCCAATCTACTTATATGGCTCCTTTTAACAGTGATATTCTACCTCATGGGTTTACTATGATGTATTTAGGCATTTCCTGTTTGTTTTCAAAAACATTTTTGAAGGAATGCAAAAGCAAGTAGCTTAAAATGCATGTTTAGCATTGAGTCTCTGTAAACCCACTTAGAACAAATCTGTTATGAACCCAGCTGTGAAGCAAAAGAACCTGTCTTTTCCAAGACATCATTTCCAGTTAAACTCTGCTCTCTCTTCCTCAGTCTCTCTCTCCCTCCTGCCCCCTCCCTCCTTTCTCTCTCTCTCTCTCCCCCCTCTCTCTCTAACGCACACATACTCTCACACTCATACTCATCTATACTTCCACTGCATTCGTTGACAAATCCAAAGTTTGATACTTCCTTGTCTAGTGCCAAACAAACAATTAATTCAAGTATTACAAAGTACTTATTATTTGCAGATCTGATAGTCTTGGCTGCCTGTAATCAGACATACTGGATGGTAAAATTATGCTGTGTAAATTTTATTATGAAGTCATTGAAATCAAGGTCACCCTTTGTCTTTTTCTTAATCACCCTTCCAGGTCAAACTCCATCATAAACTCCAAGGACTGTCTAAATTCATTTTGTTTGGGTCCTTTGTTGCATCAAATATTCTATGAAATGTGTGAGCCATTGGCCGGGTGCTGGACATGTTTTGTTTATAATATTTTGATTGTTTTGTTACTCATGGTAAAGGGATTTGACATGGATGTCTGGGTTATGTTTGGCTTTTGGCATATGCTTTGCAGTCTCACTAATTTAATGTTGACTTGGTTGTATCATTACCAGACTAATTGGATAGAAAGAGAAGCATACACTGCTACCATCTCATCCCCAATACTGGGAAATTACATATGTCCCAAGGCAAATTCAGTTAAGGGAGACTAGAAACATTTCTCATGAATCAGACCAGGTTTTATCTGAATTCCTTCCCATAAATAGTATTAGAATCGATTTTTACCATCTCTTTATTTCCTTAGGGCTAAGCACGTTTCTGCTGGGTTGTGCTAATCTCCCAGAAAACAGATGTTTCATGCAGTGATGATTTGGAAGGCTGTTGATATCAGGCATTGAGCTGGACAGTGCATCACTTAAAAAGAATCCAATTTGTTGAGTCTCTGACAGTACCAGATTCCTTTCACATTGGCCACACGTTTTTCATATTAACTTTTGGCTAAAATAAGAATAAGTAGATTTTTTTTCTTTTTTTTTTGCGGTGACTTTTACCATCTTTTACAAAGCAATCTGATTTTCCTTGCTGTAAACTGATTTACAGATAACACTGTTTGTTATCATTCATTGTGAAGGACATAAATCTGTATTTCTAGGAAAATGTCAATCTTTTCCAAGAAATCTATGCCTTCTGGTCCTTATGTCCCCCTTGTCTTCTGACTGATGGTATCACAGTTTGGTTCTCAACAGCCACCTTGTTTATTTTCCCCATCCTCCTTTACAGCACCTTTGCTTCTAGATACTGAAAAGCATGTTCTGGAATGTTGAAAATGGAGAAATGTTATAATATGGGAAAAACTTGATTTTGTGAGCTTTTTTGCTTTCTTTACCTTGTAACTTTTCTTTACAGTATGTATGATCAGTAAGCATGATTTCTTTAGAGAACATGTAGTCTACCCCTCTGTGGTAGGCAGAATAATATACCTCAAAGATGTTCATGTATTAATTCCCAGAACCTGTGAATATGTTATGTTACATGGCAAAAGGGATTTTGAAAATGTGAATAAATGAAGACTCTTGAGATGGGGAGATTAGCCCAGATAATCTAGGTGGGCCCAGTGTTAGCACAGGCGTCTGTATTAGTGAAAGAAGACAGGGAAGTCAGAGTGTGACAATAGAAGCAGAGGTCAGAGAGATGTGATTGCTGGTTTTGAAAATGGAAGGGACCACAAGCCAAAGACTAGGGGCAGCCTCTAGAAGCTAAAAAAGGCAAGGAAAGACTCTCTCTCCCAGAGCCTCCAGAATGAACACAGTCCTGATGACACCCTGATTTTAGACCCATGAGGCCCATTTTTGGACTCTGACCTCCAGAACTACAAGATAACACATTTTTATTGTTTTAAGGCACTAAATTTTGGGATCATTTGTTACAGCAGCAATAGAAAACTAATACACCCTCTTAAATATTGCCCATAATATTTTTGCTTCTGTGTTTACTTTCAAAGGGAAAAAAGGAAAGAAGCTGCATCTTTCTCAATTAGAAAGTAGATTTTAATGCCACTCATACAGTCATTACTTAGAGAGTCACATTAGTGTATATTAAATAAGTCTTATAGTATTAATTTTCTATATGCTACAATATTGCCCAAAAACCTAATGCCTTAAAACAACATGTATTATCTCACAGTGTCTCACAACTTAGCTGTGTCTTCTGGCTCCAGGA